GATGGGCACCTGTACCAGGCACAGGTGCCATTGACGTTATCAGCAGCAGAGGGGAGTGCAGACAAAAATATATTGTTCCGCGCAACCTTCACCAACCCTCACTGACCAGTGTGGTGAGGTATGGTCGAATTATCCTGAAGACCTGCACAGATTTGGAAGGCCCTCATCTAGCAATTAATTGACAAAGAGACTGTACGCAAATAATAATTAGTTGGTTTTGTTTCGGGGGGGGGAGGGGGTGGTAGATCGTGAGGGAATAATGACAATTAGAGCTATTCGCCCTCCACCACCAGACAGAACCTTAAATTATTGCCCCAATTTATACATACACACTTCATACATACACACTTCATACATACACACTTCATACATACACACTTCATACATACACACTTCATACATTCACACTTCATACATGCACACTTCATACATGCACACTTCATACATGCACACTTCATACATGCACACTTCATACATACACACTTCATACATACACACTTCATACATACACACTTCATACATACACACTTCATACATACACACTTCATACATACACACTTCATACATACACACTTTATACATACACACTTTATACAGTACATGCACACATTATACAGTACACTTCGCACATGCAGACTTTACACAGTACATGTACACTTCGTACATGCAGACTTCATACATGCACGATGTATACAGTACATGCACACTTTATACATGCATACTGTGTACATGCACAAAGTGGCGCGAGAGGTAAGGGTTTGACATCCTGTGCTCTGCATGGTGATTCCATGTGATGCAATCTAAACACTCATAGAGTACAGCATTCTGGGTTACATAAAAAATATATATATAACAATAATTTCCTTTAATATCTCCACAAAAAATCAGATATAATCTAGGTTGTCAGCCTATATTGGCCTCCGGAACTTATGTTAACGAGCAAAACTATGAACGTTCTGAGTCTTAGATAGATGCAAATTCTCCAGAATCTGAATATTTTAACAAATGCTGCTCATTTCCATGAACATGGAAGCCCAATAATCCAACAAACTACAAGCATTTTATGCGTAGAAATACAGAACATAAGGTGATTTATTTGCTCGTAATATTATGCTCTGTGTCTGACTGATATTCTGCACATGAATAGTTATAATTGGGTGCGATATCAAATCTTCTGCCACTTTGCAAATCACCGTGCATGCACGTAAATGCATTGTCAATATTGCCGATTATATGGATATACATCTGGACTATTTCCACTGACTGTTCTGACCTCGTGCAACATGTGGCCACTGTGTGCTTGCCAAGAGCGCAAGAAAAAAAGCATGATAATGTATTACTTTGAAAATCCTTTCACAGCTATGTATACCGTGCACATGCATAACATGAGGAACACTGTGATAGCAAGTTCAATAGAGTAGTACTTAGTCTCAATCTAAATCACATGATGCAGCTGAATGGTAGACTTTGTGTAGGGCTTTTGTGGAATGGAGATCCCAGCCTTGTTATTTCTCACTGTTTAAAAAAAGAAGTTCAATATATACAGTGAGGGGAAAAAAGTATTTGACCCCCTGCTGATTTTATACGTTTGCCCACTGACAAAGAAATGATCAGTCTATAATTTTAATGGTAGGTTTATTTGAACAGTGAGAGAGAATAACAACAACAAAATCCAGAAAAACACATGTCAAAAAAGCAATAAATTTATTTGCATTTTAATGAGGGAAATATGTATTTGACCCCCTCTCAATCAGAAAGATTTCTGGCTCCCAGGTGTCTTTTATACAGGTAACGAGCTGAGATTAGGAGCACACTCTTAAAGGGAGTGCTCCTAATCTCAGCTTGTTACCTTTATAAAAGACACCTGTCCACAGAAGCAATCAATCAATGAGATTACAAACTCTCCACCATGGCCAAGACCAAGGATGTCAGGGACAAGATTGTAGACCTACACAAGGCTGGAATGGGCTACAAGACCATTGCCAAGCAGCTTGGTGAGAAGGTGAGAACAGTCGGTGCGATTATTCGCAAATGGAAGAAACACAAAAGAACTGTCAATCTCCATCGGCCTGGGGCTCCATGCAAGATCTCACCTCGTGGAGTTGCAATGATCATGAGAACGGTGAGGAATCAGCCCAGAACTACACGGGAGGATCTTGTCAATGATCTCAAGGCAGCTGGGACCATAGTCACCAAGAAAACAATTGGTAACACACTTCGCCGTGAAGGACTGACATCCTGCAGCGCCCACAAGGTCCCCCTGCTCAAGAAAGCACATGTACATGCCCTTCTGAAGTTTTCCAATGAACATCTGAATGATTCAGAGGACAACTGGGTGAAAGTGTTGTGGTCAGATGAGACCAAAATGGAGCTCTTTGGCATCAACTCAACTCGCCGTGTTTGGAGGAGGAGGAATGCTGCCTATGACCCCAAGAACACCATCCCCACTGTCAAACAAGGAGGTGGAAACGTTATGCTTTGGGGGTGTTTTTCTGCTAAGGGGACTGGACAAATTCACCGCATCAAAGGGACGATGGACGGGGCCGTGTACCGTCAAATATTTGGGTGAGAACCTCCTTCCCTCAGCCAGGGCATTGAAAATGTGTCGTGGATGGGTATTCCAACATGACAATGACCCAAAACACACGGCCAAGACAACAAAGGAGTGGCTCAAGAAGAAGCACATTAGGTCCTGGAGTGGCCTAGCCAGTCTCCAGACCTTAATCCCATAGAAAATCAGTGGAGGGAGCTGAAGGTTCGAGTTGCCAAACGTCAGCCTCGAAACCTTAATGACTTGGAGATCTGCAAAGAGGAGTGGGACAAAATCCCTCCTGAGATGTGTGCAAACCTGGTGGCCAACTACAAGAAACGTCTGACCTCTGTGATTGCCAACAAGGGTTTTGCCACCAAGTACTAAGTCATGTTTTGCAGAGGGATCAAATACTTATTTCCCTCATTAAAATGCAAATCAATTTATAACATTTTTGACATGCGTTTTTCTGGATTTTTTGTTGTTATTCTGTCTCTCACTGTTCAAATAAACCTACCATTAAAATTATAGACTGATCATTTCTTTGTCAGTGGGCAAACGTACAAAATCAGCAGGGGATCAAATACTTTTTTCCCTCACTGTATGTACTGCAGGCAATATATTTGCTTAGACATTGCTATTGCTGAAATCATGCTGACAAGAAAATATGTAAATCAAATAAACATAACCTTTGATCAAACTCATGATATGTTGTTGTGGAGCATGGGTGAGTGCATATATAAACAGAACTCCATTCGGTGTTTCTACATATAAAATACAAACATTGTTTAGCCCATCAGCCTTTCCAGACCAAAATTATTCAGATACATTTTAAGCAAGAATACTGGGCCAGTTTCGACCTTCAGCATTTCATAAACAAAAGTCTTGCTTATTAAACAAATGCTGCTGGGTTACGAGATGTTATTGGCAAGAGCACCCCATTACGTGTTGTTGTGGGACCTTATGAGTAAAACATATATTCGTGAACTCCATGGTGGCGAGATGTTATCTCCCTCGCCTGGTATACAGGAGGTCGTGGGTTCGATCCCGACCCTGACTCTTGTATATTTGGAGTTTACGTTTTCTCTCCCTATGGTCGTGTGGATTCTTCCCCGGGTTCCGACTATTTGGCTGCTCATATACATTCCCACATGTGATGACAATCGCCACTTCGGTGAGCTGTCATGTGTGGCCAGGTCGCCTGTGAAAAAGAGCGAATAACTGAGTGGGCTTTATCGGATAAATAAAACGGCCGTACCGTCGTAGTATTATAATTGGACTACAACACATTTGTATCTATAATTGGAGACGCAAAACGGAAGTCCTGCTTAAATAATTATTGGTCGCATTATTGCACTTCAGCGGCGTGAGAATAAATTCGGCAAGTGGAACGGGAGGTGGTGTGTGGTGGATAAGCTGATGAACTCTCTGCTGTATTTACCTGTTTTGTAAGTCGTCTGCGTCGTCGGCGCGTATTGTTGCCAACTGCGGGAGTGCGCTCGAAGCAGGCGGTGTGCGTGGGATGCGTTCGTTTTGAGGGATCACAAAAGCGCCCCAGTGCTGCTATTTACAGGAGGCCCTGGCTGTCGGCGAGGTGTTATATGAAGAGTGGTGGTGGTGTTGATTAACCCTTACCGAGTTTAGATTGTATTATTTTATTATTAGTATTATCTTCTTTACATGGCTGCATAGGGATCTACAAATGTTACTCCTCCAGTGACATCAAGAATAATGTTCAGGCACGCGCGCAAGTGAAAACCCGTGTATTAAGTAGGGTATACGTGCATTGTACTTAAAATGCATTAGCCAGCAACAATTATTTGCCCGCGCAAGCAAACCTTGGACTGGGTTTCACCTTCTGGGTCTCAACATCATGGTGGTGGTATTGACGAAGCCCTCCTGGTGTATAAAATATGTTTTGATTACTTTATATGCCTGCGCATGCAAATACAAATATTCTTCTTCGAGCAATATTAGAAATACCATTCACCCACGGGCATGTGTTAAAGGGTGTTAAAATAACATTGGTTCCCATTATGTTTAAAGATGTATTTGTTTTTTAAATGGCTCAATGTCAGCAACGTAAATCGGGAAGGCTTGGGGTGGCAGGTGCACGGAACTTTCGTCATGGGGTTGCACAGTCTCCACACTCACAAATGCACCCGGGCTCCTCCAGGGAAAGCTTTTCATAAATTCCTGCCCTGGCTCTCACCACATTTGCGTAATTGCCACCTGTCAATCACCTCTTTTCCTTTTCTCTCTGCCTCTTCTCAATAATCATTTGAATGCTTTTTTCTCTTCTTCTGCTTTTCTAACTTTATTTTTGTCCCACAACAAGGGACCCCCTACGGTTCCATACGTTTATCATTCCGATCGCGTTCATCCCATGCCTCCTGGTTATGCCCTTCTCTGAATGTGTTGTTGAAAATGTTTCTCGTAAAAATCCTCCCCTCTCCTCTTGCCGTTGCAGTGCAACAAGGCGCGACGGCGCCGGCAACAGACGTGCCCGCGGACCCACCGCCAACGGCAGCCGCCCGGTCGGCACAACCGGGGCAGCCGTTGCCTTCAAGCCCACCGGGAGGCGCCTTCAGTCCGCCAGCTCAGCCTCAACCGTACCCGTCGGGGCCACCACAAGCGGCGTACCCCTCCTCCCCGCAAGCCCCGTACCCCTCACCGCAGGCCCCGTACCCCATGCCGAGCTATCCGGCCGGTCCCAACCCCCCGTACCCGCTCGCCATGCCGCAGCCGTGCCTGCCTGGCGCGCACTTGCAGGAGGGTGCCTACCCCGCTCCGCCTGGGTTCCACGTGGGGCCCATGCCACCATGTGGCCCATTGTTCGCTCCTGAGGGCCCTCCGTACCCGACTGGGCCCTCTGGATACAATGCAGGTAGGGCCGTTTTTTTTCGTTGGCAACGTTGCGTTTTTAGAGCGCCTTTCGAGGATTGAAACCTTACAAAACACTTGCACGTCTTTCATATGGCATGTAAGCAACAGTTCGCATAGATGAGGTCATGGTTGAATGTTAAGGTCCTTCAACCAATCCAAGGCGGCAATAGAGACTGTATGGATTGCAGCGATACCGCCAGGGTGTGTGTGGATGGCCCACTCGTCGGTGATGTGTTTGATGGTTCGGGCTTTACCACCGTCACAGTTTGGTGATTCTTTTATTTTCAATTTATGAAACGTGGACGCACATCTCCCATGCTGTGAAAGCTTGCACTGATATGGCTGCTCATGTGAGTGCCGAGTTCTTAAAAGCTCTAAGGATGGATTAGTGGCAGCCAGGTAAATGGGACGAGTCCGAGGAGATAGAAACCTAGGAGATAGAGCAGTGAAATCGGCCTGTGCACATGCTTTGGTGGATTGTGTGCATGGGCAGGGTGGTGAGAGATGATGCCAGCTTGGAGATGATGGGGAAGGATGCACTCGAGGTTGTGAGTTCATATCCAATACTGTGGTTGATTCATCCAATTGGGGTGAATAACTGAGTAGTGACAGTGGCTGTGGTATGAAGAGTCTCGCTCCCACCGTGGGAATGTGAATTTATTTTACCACCGGCTTGGGGACGTCAATGAAAATGAGTGCCGTATCACTGTTCATTGAGAAGTGGTACATTCTGACGTTTCTGATGTGATATAAAGCATTACACTATGTAACACAATTTTTGTTCTTGGGTAGTTTTTTTTCGTAATTGCTTATGCCTAAAAAGTATAGAAAATGGCTATTATTCCCCACAAACCTTGCTTTTGTGACCAGTACAGTGATATTTTAAAATGCACCTATTTTCAATGAGAAAACGGGCAAATTTGTGTCTTTTCGTTCACATAAAGTAAGAAAAAAACCAACAAGAATAAAAATGTACATGTATTTATACTAAAGTAATACGAAAATTACTACAAAAGATTTAGACACCAAGGCGCACTACCACAGGCAGGACTGGCCACAGCGGACCGAGTTCTCTGTGGGGAGGAACAACATCAAGTGGGAGCCACTGGTGGACTCCCGGAAGGTACTGATGCCACCACTGCACATAAATTGGGCCTTATAAAAAACATTGTCAGAGCTGTAGATAAGGAGTCGGTAGCCTTCAAGTACCTTCAAGACTCCTTCCCTGTCTGAGGCAAAGGTCAAAGCTGGTGTCTTCGTCAGACCACAGATAAAGAAGATCCTGGAGTGCAATGAATTCCCCAAGAATCTCACTAGTAAGGAGAAAGCGGCTTGGAACAGATTTGTCACAGTGGTTCGTGGCTTCCTGGGCAATCACAAGGTCGAAAACTATGTGGAGCTCGTTGAGACTCAATGGGCTATGGGATGTCCCTCAAAGTCGATATCCTTGATGCTCATCTTGATCAATTCAAAGAGAGCATGGGAGCGTACTCGGAGGAGCAAGGTGAGCGCTTCCACCAGGACATACTGGACTTTGAACGCCGCTACCAACGACAGTAGAACGAGAACATGATGGGAGACTACATTTGGAGGCTGATTCGTGAAAGTCATTTACAGTATGATCGCAAATCTCGAAAAACTGCTCACTTTTAAATATTTTCTAGTCATTTTTGAATTACTTTAGTATAAATACATGTTAATTTTGATTCATATGTTTTTCTGACTTTATGTGAACGAAAATACACATTTGCCCGTTTTCTCATTTAAAATAGGTAAATTTTTAAATATCACTGTCCTGATCACAAAAGCATCGTTTTGTGGAGAATAATTGCCATTTTCTGTACTTTTGAGGCATAAGCAATTCGAAAATAACACTTACTACCCAGGAACAAAACAAAAAAAAGTGTTACACGGTGTTATCTATCATTATCGTACAGCTATGATTCCTTGTCGGATGAAGGCCTCTCCAAGACATTGCTATTCATCACGTCGCTCCTGCCCAGTATCTGATAACGCGGTTCCACCGTGGTGAATGTCTGATAGGCCATGCTCACTTCGTTGGTTGCCCCTCCCATGATTAGTTTAACCACACGTATTTATACATCGCAGTAAATGTAGGGTTGGAGGGAGGGGGTCAGAGAAACAACAACTGCATCTTTTTAGCGTCATGGACTGCAGAGGCAAGTTATTTTAGCGAGCACATACAAAGGCTGGCATGACACTCATATGAAGGTCGCTTTCTCCAATGCTATTGTCACACATTGCATCAAGTGCTCATTGAAGGCTGAGTTGGACTATGAGAGGCCCAGGACAGGTTAAGATAACACTCGTCACTGATGTTATCCACAATGGCGGAGCCAGGATTTTCAGGTAGGGGGGGCAACCCCTCCAGCAATGAAAAATGATAGAGGAGTTGTTAGTGAGTAAGGACTTGTCCCTTGCTTTTTATTTGACTCGTGTGTGGTAATGGCGCAGCCATCGATCGAAGGTCGAATTCTAACCGTGTGTGATCGGCATCGCGCTCGCTGAAGGTGAATGCCTTCAGGGAAGTCATGGACTGTATACGCAACTGCGCACAATTCTGAGTCACTTATAACTGCTTTGCCGTTACTTATTGCCAATTATGGACTCAGACTATTATCCTATCATCTCATATAGTCCCTGGCACATAATAATATGCTACACAGTGGCAGTGGGGGATTTATTACTCATAAACCCCAATGATCCGATCGAAATTAGGGATTTCGATCAGATCATTGGGGGGGGGGGGGCACGTGCCACCCCACCCCCCACTGGCTTCGCCAGTGATTATCCATAGCCAGAAATAGAAACCAGGTTGTGGGAACTAGCACACTGCGATAACCGCTGTGCACCGATCTACACACAAAAATGCATATGCACGTGTGTACAAAGACCTCCTGTATAACCTTGTAAAACTACTGGGATAAGTACTATTCGTGCACACTTATTAAGGCTGGTACAGCACTCAAGGGGGAGTCATGTAGTCCACATTGCGCCTGGGTCATCTTTATCGCCCGCAGGTCACCAGGATTTATCTGCACCGGTTATTTCTCATTGAGGTCACATCGACCTGCGGGAGACCCAATCACAGTTTCCGAAATAACTCTGCCTATGACTGACTGTCTCTTTCTGTATTTAAACATAACTAGTCTGGTCTCATTTCCCCAGGATGCCCATAATCCCAATTGTTCTATACAGCATCTTGAAATGTGGTTACATTTTGATGCTGTTTAAATGCAAACTGTATAGTTAATGTTAATCCATCGTTGGGAATCAAACTTAGGTCAGTGGAATCTCAGTTTAGTGTCAGGAGTATTTCAACACTGCTTCCCTCGCCTCCCCCCAATGTGTATGCATGTGGGGGGGTTGGGGGGCGGGGGACACACGCACACACATCGGTCGCACACACAAATGTCGAACTGTGAGTGGAAACGTTCCCGCATGAAACGAAACCTTTTTACCAGTATCAAAGTATGCAAAAAATAAGAATAGATTTTACCCTTTCTGGCAATAAAACAGTTGTGTTAAGATGTTCAAACACCAAATAAAAAAAACTTTTGCAAGGAATTAAGTTGGCATTAACCACACGTACCTGTGGTGAACATGCAAACAAACATGCTCGGATAATTTTTGCATTGTCTTTGATTAAACCCTATTCGCCCTGCAGCCCATGGACCATCACTGCCGTTTCCCCTCGGCAAAAAACCCCATCATAGAATAGAAGTAGGAACCATTCTGAACGTGCCAGTATACACGATGGGTTTTCTGAAAAGTGGCTGTATGGCGTACAGCCCACTTCAGTGCATGTTGGTCCATTTTGACCACTGTATTATGTACTGTAGTTCTGAAATTATGACGATTGTTCTTTTTGCCTCTGTGTGATATCTACGTACTCTTTTGGTTCTATTCGGTAAAGTCACGTAGGTAAAAAAATAAAACAACAAAAAATCACGACGTTTCGGCCACAACACAAGCGGCCTTCATCAGGTGAAGGGATCAGGCTGTCTCGAGGACAGCGCTGGAGTGGAACACAGTCACGCTCAGACCGCGACCTTTAAGCTGTGTGCGAGGAAACAAGGTGCCTTGACAAAGGTCGCGGTCTGAACGTGGCTGTGTTCCACTCCAGCGCTGTCCTCGAGACAGCCTGATCCCTTCACCTGATGAAGGCCGCTTGTGTTGTGGCCGAAACGTCGTGATTTTTTGTTGTTTTATTTTTTTACCTACGTGACTTTACCGAATAGAACCAAAGAGTATGGATCCTTGCAGTCACGAAAGCTTTAAATCTAGAATTAATATCTACGTGTTATAATTTTAAGTTCAAAATAATTAGCTTGAGCTCCATTTGAATAGGCACATCGACAGTTAATTGCATTGTAATTACACCGCAGTTAGCATGTAACGGACGCGAAGTAACTGTAAGCTCATGCTTACTTCACAGCTACAATATTACCCGAACATTAATTAGCTATAACTAAGTACTCATTACATGGAGATAATGCTAAATTGTCCTTGCTATGGATCATTAAAATAAAGCTAAACCGCTAAATTAGCTTTCGTGCGGTAATATAAATGGTGATATTTTTTTTTAGTAATTGTTCAGTGATTGTTCAGCGTTAACCCCGCAATATATTTTCTCTGTGATCTCTGTTTTACAGGCCCGCAGCCCCCGTATCCTGTGATGTAGCTCACCAGGGCTGATTTACGTGAACAACCAAGCAAGAACTCCCTGGGCTTTGCGGGGAATTCAAAATTACGACCTTGAATCACACGGTGGCCTGTGCCACATTTTATGTAGCGTTACCCCAAGCAATGTTTATTGTGAAAATGTTTATACGCTGTCCAAGTGTAAGAATTGTGCGTCGGAAAAAAAATGATTGCGCAGCGGATAGAGTTTTGCAAGTGTCGCTTCATCTTGTAAGCTAGCTGCGGTTATTTTTTTTAAAACGCCGCACAGCTCAACCGTTTTATAAGCACCTTTATTAAACTTACGTGAAGTACTGTGCTCGATTACTGTTCGAAACAAGTAAAGCTGGCTGAATTGCATTGCCATCCATTGTCCACCTACTGGTAAGATTGGTACACTGCTGTGAATTGATTGGCGGATTACTCACAGTGGGGTAAAACCTTGATTGGTCTTCCTCCTCTTTTAAGTTCTTAACGAGGGTGGGATATTGGCCTGAACGTGAACGCTTGCAGAGCGTGTGTCTTCTCCGCTGTTTGCAACAACAACAAAAATCACCCAAAAATGTCAAGTTATTAATGGATTTCATTCATATTCTGGCAACAAAATGCAGAGATAGCACTGTTTTAATGTCAAAGGCTTCTGCCCGAGGGTACACCATTGGCAGCTTTTGATGGTTTTGTATTTGATTTTGCTCCACAGTATTTAGCTTTTGATTGGATTTTATTCTGTCAAAGCTCGATTAAGCAATTGCTGCTTATGAAGCTGATCTTCCAACCTGACTTTACCATCTATTTTTCCACTATCTCAAGGGAGTTTTATGGGAAACAAAGCCAATTTATGTGCTGAAAAGCAGTACAAATTTTTGTTTTAAAACACGAGTAAGAGTAACACGTCCCTTTTTTTGAAATATTGGTGTTAGCCATGGTTGTAAATTAACATGTTTTTCTTAATGAGGCCTAATGCCGCGTGTCAATGTAAAGGGTTCTTGAAAATTCTCACCAGAGCTATTGTTTTGATTTGATGGCTTTACTCATTTTTTAGTAATGTATTATTTATTGTCGCATTATGTTTGTGTTGTGCGCATGTTTATTTATACATTTTTTTGCCGTTTTGTTTCTGTTTTTTTAGCATAGTATTTGATTTTGCTTTGCATAAAAAAGTATATATAAGCCAGCTGCTGATGCTCAAAATAAAATAATGCAAAAAGAAAAAATGATTTCTTCTTGAAATATGGATTTCACGGCTTTGCTCACAAAGCGGAGGAGCTTATTGCACGAAGCATATTTTACAAAGAGCCTTGGCAGCTCTTGACATGCTTGTGTAACCAAGAACAGCAATGCAGTGAAACTGTGCTCCACTATGGTGGAAAAAAGTCAATGATTGTTACATTTATGGTTCCAAATGCATGCTTTGGAAAGGTAAAACAAAATTGCATCATTGTACTGATAACAGGTTTATTATAATCGGCCACAGGCTAACAGGTTAAGATTTAACAATGCAAATAATTTCATCTCTTGTACGTGAAAGCTGAAATATATATTCAGTGCTGTGTGATGTCTGCTCTTGTTGACCCTTAAATTATAAACTGCGTCAATCTGTTCATAGTGCCATATGTTTTGGGAGGTATAATTACTGTGTTCTTATTATATTTACACACGTAAAAAAAACATGATGGTGCTATGCACGCTTGTATTAAATTATTACTTGAACGCCGTATGGGCTATTTAATCAAGCGTTGTTAAGCCGTGTGATAACAGTTGGTTTGTTAGACCGCTGTAGTCTGCCATCTGTATAAATAACAAACAATTATTGAGCTATATTCTTGGTTCTTTCGGTAAAGTCACGTAGAAGGGAAACAATAAAATGATAAAAATATAAAACAATACAATTCTTACGACGTTTCGACGGCAACACAAGCAATCATCATCAGGTGTGAAAACCACAGCAAGAAAATTGTATTGTTTCCCTTCTACGTGACTTTACCGAAAAAACCAAGAATATGAATCCCTGCAGTCACGAACGCTTTAAATCTAAATTTAATTACTGTGCTGTCTATTCCCAAGGGGGGCTGTTGCACCTTCACTTAACAAGGCCGTCATTGCCCATCTGCATGGCACACTCTGCTCTTTCAATGTTGTATGCACAGCTATTCTAACGTTAAAGTTATTTAAGCTACATATATGTTTTATTATGTTTCCAATAAAATGTGTTTTTGTCCTTATCCACTCATGCTAGGCCCCAGTGGATCTATACTTTGATTCACAGTGAGTGGCTAGGGAGGGAAGACAATTAAGGTGCCCATTGGTGGGAGCTGGGCCTGCCTGTAGGCTCACAGTATGATTTGAATTCCTCTCCCGTGTTCCTCCACACATTCCTAATGTGCCCCACATATGCCATTGGCTCCTTGACTTATACCATTGCTCAACAATGTTTTTTTTTAAACATGCCACCAATATTTGCAGAACGCAAGCCTGTACATGACTAGGCTGTGTGTGGTAGAGAAAAATGGTCAGAACCCAAAAAATGGTTTGCAATTAAAAACAATGGGTTCAGTCATTTTGCACGAATCAATTTCATTTTTCATGGACATACTCATGTCATGCAAATACAATTATCCTTAAAATAAGGCATATTTAATACAGTATTCATATTACACATGGCCGTGTAATTCATATTTTTCAAAACATGTGTATACTGTCTCATTATTTTGTTACCTTATCAAGCGAACCGCTTTTAAAACATGTTGTTGGATGTCAGAGTTTAGACGTTTAGAATAGGGAAAAAAATAATGTTATGCATTTTTTTAAAAGTGATATTTAAAAGCGATGTGTCATTTGTACCCAAGTCAGGATGTGTTCATCTCATTAGGGGAGGAATTTACATTAATTAATCGTCTGGGGGATTATCCCGATGTTGACGCAAGCTGCTGATGAGATTAATCTCATCTCCTCGCACAAGGTATGTCAAGATTAGCATATCCGCAAAGCTTTTTCATGTGAAAATGTACAAATTCCAGAGACAAATAGTTTCATATGCGATGAACACATTAATTTGCATCAGTTATTTAGGATCATTAAAATAAAGCTTCACCAACTCGCAGTGACCAGCATGGTCAAAATATCATGGCCCTTAAACCATGGACAGGCCCTCATCCAGCAGTCGATCGGCAAAGGGCTTTACGTGTACAACAAGAAAGTATACTGTATATCTAATCTAATTTATTTAACGCCTTCACTTAAGGCACTTGACATAGCTTGAAAAACGATGACAGAATAGAATTATGCAGTTGACGAGCATACAAGGATTGAGGAATGAGTGGCAGCGATACAGGGCACTTAGGGATCACGGAAGGGGAGGGGAGGAAAGAGAATGGGAAATAGAGAAGAGGAAAGCTCTCTATGTCTTTCCCCTATGTTAGTGTCTCTGTGTGTGTGTGTCTCTCTCTCTCTGTGTGTCTCTCTCTCTGTATATGCGTCTCTCTCCGTGTCTGTGTTGTCTCTCGCTCTCTGTATATATGTGTCTCTCTCCGAGCTTGCATTCATTCACACCTGATGACAGTTGCTTGTGTTGCAATCGAAACGTCGTATTCTATTATTTATTTTATTTTCTTTCCACGTGACTTTACGGAAGGAACCAAAAAGTTATTTCTGCAGTCACGAAAGCTTCAAATCAAGAGAAAATCTTTAAGAGAGGAATGGAATGAGGGCAAGGATAGGTGCAAGATGAGAAAAAAATCCGAAAAGACGATTGGGCACAGGGAAAAAGAGGAACATAAAGAGACAAGATTCGGAACGAAGAAGACGAGAGGGGACATGGAGATGAGAAAAGCAAGATAAGGTGGGGCAAGGCCATGTATAGATTTAAAGTCGAGCATCGGATATTTGAAAAGACAGCGGTGTAGTAAATGGGAAGCCAGTGGAGTTTAAGGAGGAGAGAGGCAAAGTGTGAGAATTAAAGGGGAGATTGAAATTAACTCGTGCAGACGCATGTTTAATTTGTTGGAGGGGAGTGAGGGCAGAGGCAGGGAGACCAAGAAGAAGATAATCACAGTATCGATTAAAAGCTTTCGTGACTGCAATGATTGATCTTCTTTGGTTCTTTCGGTAAAGTCACGTAGAATGAGAATTATTTTATTCTCATTCTACGTGACTTTACCGAAAGAACCAAAGAAGATAATCACAGTAGTCCAGACGCTTGAAGATCAAAGAATGAACCAGGAATTTGGTGGTATAAATGTTAATGAGAGGGCAGATTTTCCTGATGTTGAATAGATGAAAGCGGCAGATGCGAGTTGTAGTGGAGATATGGGTGGGGAAAGTGAGGGAAGAGCCAAAGGTGAGACCGAGGTTGAGGGCAGAAGAAACAGGAGAGATGATGGTTGTGATGAGAAGAGAAGAGTGAGAGGCTGGAAAGAAAATTATTGACGTTTTGAAAGGATTGAGAGAGGGAGTGAAGTGCCATCTAGGTATGGATGGCATGGTATAAAAAATGTAAAGCTTAAATTTAATGGGAAATATTTCCAATTCTCGTGTTACTTTTATTGCAATACGTTTCACAATTATGGAATTAATGGAAAGCCTAACGTCACCATTATTACATACACCGACTAATGATGTCTTGGAAATGGATCATTATTAACCCACTTTTTTCATGTTAAAATCTGTGCTGATATTCGAATGCTGAACAGATGTAATAAAATATGAATGGACCTTAAATTAAATGTGACCACTGGTTATCAAGTAGCGCAATATGATCTTTAATGTCTATAGTGAAGACACTTTAAAGACCGAACCTTGTTTTAATGACTTGAGATGCATTGCCTTGTACTGTAGGGTATAACCAAGCACTGTGCAAGATATTTAATTGATAATCCTCCATGTCTTCTCGGAGCAAGATTATACGCATGAGGTGGCACAAGTTCAGCATCTGAGATATGACAAAAAACAATTCAATTTTTTTTAATTTACAGTATTGTGTCAATACGCTGACAGATGCAGACCACCTTATGCCATATCGGTTATGGGGTGTGTCTGACCATACTTCACTATGCTGGTCAGTGTGGGTTGGTGCCCAAGATAAGTTCAGATATCACTTGCCAGGAATACAACTCTTAAAAGAGGTATGCTTATAGATCTACTGTTGTGTGTAACGATGCACTGAGTCAATGGTTTATATTGATCTTGAAGCTCACATTGCTTGCATTGAATTTCATGTGTAAGAACGATTGTGTTGTTTTTTTTATTGTATATCTTACAAGTAATGGGTTGACGTGGCCCATGCAACTGCTACTGTTAATGTAATAAAAATGATTTATTTCCTGGAATTAAATCGTGGCGCTGAATTGTGACAATAAAATCGCCGAGGGGAATGAATCGATACACCTCGAATATTCACGCCTACAGTAGCGATAATTCAGTGGTTAGAACGTTTGCGAAAGTGTGCACAGTTATTAATTTTCCAGATCATGATCCGAAAATAGCTTTATGTGCTTGCATACTCATTAAATATTTCACATTGAATCTGACAGTAATTGCCTTTCAAGTGCTCTTACATGGATAGTATTTATTAATACACCAATAACCAGGCAGATGCTGATGGATGTGGACTGAATGCTTGATATGTGATGGATTAAAGTGTGTTAAGCTTTATTTTATGGATACAATTATTAACAACAATTATTCCCGTAGTGGAAGAATTAAAAATTGAAAGCAGTTGCTCTTGTAATCAACGTTTAAGGTTAAATGTGTTGTGTTTTTAATATATTAATTTTGCCGGACATATACAAATTATACCCTAGTACAGTAATTCTATTTATCCAACACATTGCACCAAATATTGTTACAAAATCTGTGTGGGGATAAAACGGCCAATTTTTGTTGCATTCATAATTGTCAGTTTGCTAGCTATTCCTATTTCAATATGAGAGATTTAAGGACAACTCTATTGAAAAGTACGTCTTAGAAACAGGTAATTGTAGTGCTTAGTCTATTACATTATAATTCTAAATGCCATCCAAATATATAATTCAGTGAAAAACTGCAGTGTGAAGTCTTGAAAATAACTATCAACAATACATACAACAATACATACTCTTACATAAGCGCACAACTTTATCTATCTGTGATGAACGCTGCACTTTCCGTCGTTTTGATGCAGGGGGCGCTGCAAACCTACCCGCACCCCCTGCATGAACGACGGAGGCGCAGGGACAGACGTTCGATTACGTTGGAATCGACCTGCAGACGGCGGTCTTCTCGCACGGCCAGCTCTATGTCGCCTTATCTCGATCCCGCAATCCCAAGCAGGTGAAAGTCCGCATCGAACCGAACCCCCAGCAAGGCCATCTACTTAACGACGAGAGAAAATTCACACAAAATGTCCTTTTAAATTAAGTCTTCCAGATGTAAAATTATATAAGCTTTTAACGAAGAAAAAAAATGATCTAATTCAAAACAATACAATTCAAAGATGTTTCATTTTAAAACTTAAAAACGGAGCATCGGGTGCTTGCGTGAATGCGTCGTTCGTGTGCAATATTTGAGTGACTTTCGTTAAAGTCAAGTAGGTATAAAATAACTTTACCGAAAGAACCAAAGAGTATGGATTCTTGCATTCATGAAAGCTTCAAATCAAGATTGAACCCCTAGTTACTACTATAATGAGCAAATAATGTCTGTTTGTGTGTAACGCGCATGATGTCACTCCACATGCAGCACCCCCTGTCATTAATATTCATGAGCGGGTGACGTCACTACGCATGGAGAACCCCCCCCCCCCTCATTAATAATCATGAACAGGTGACGTCCTCCGAATGGACACCCCCCCCCCCCCGCCATTAATAATTATTAGTGGGCGACGTCACTCCACATGGGGGGGCGAGGCGCCTCCTCCCCCCTCCTCGGCGTCAACTCACAACCCTCACTACAAAGGCAGAACCCTCACGTCACGTGATCCCCGTAACGCTGTTGAGACATCAAAGTAAAAAGGACGTCGTGATGAACAAGGGATTATAACCTTAAAATGAAATAGATATGTGTCACCGCGGCCTTACAAATTGCACACGCATTAATGCAATGACTATATCACGTCGCGGTCTGCTTTTCGCTTGCAAGTTTCAGATTTACTGAAATACACCCGTATCTTGGACGGGCAAAAAGGCCAGTTGGAATATAAATGGAATAGTTAAACACTATGAGATAAATAAAGTACATATAACAATATAAATGTAAATTTTGATTTAAAGCTTTCGTGACTGCAGGGATTCATATTATTGGTTCTTTCGGTAAAGTCACGTAGAAGGGAAACGATAAAATAATATTGTTCTATATTTTTATTATTTTAATATAAATCTAATAATTTCATTTAAAATGATCAGCGCTTGGCCAACCAACTGCTGGGAGAAGACATTCAAATGCCATGCTCGTGATGGGGGCTGTTTGACCATACTTCACCACGCTGGTCAGAGGATGGGAGGTTGGGGGAAGGAAAATGAAGGACCAGTTTAGGTATCCGTGAATACTACTGTTAGCCATGACCAGGAATCGAACTTTGATCACCATTATCATGGTGCGTGCAGTGCACTAGCTGCTATGAGAACTGCACCACCTAAATGTTTAAGGGGCCGTCCATAAATGACGTCACGCGATTTTGGACGATTTTTGACCCCCCCTCCCCTTCGTCACACGGCGTCACAAAAAGTCAGACCCCCCCCCTCAAATATGACGTCACAAAGCTCTGCCCCCCCCCCCAATAAAACATGCTTCAAATGCGGCGCTGCACTCTGATGTTGTAGGAGAAAACATTTATTTAAAAGTCAATTTAATTAAGTAGAACGTGTTGTCTATATTTATTTAAAGTTGCGAATTTTGATGTGACGTCACATTTCTCAACCCCCCCACCCCACGTCACACATCGTCACAAATGTCTGACTCCCCCCCCCCACCCCCAAGTGCGTGACGTCATTTATGGACGGCCCCTAAATAGAATAAAAAAAATAGTCCGTGGGAAAATTTAAACCATGTACTGTAGTGGGACAACTAATAATGCTTCCATGAGGACATAGATGCTAACATGTTATTATTCCATCAGTCATAAAAGTATGAATAATCTCTCAACATCATATCCCACCTGATGACGATCGCTTGTGTGCCGATTGAAGAAACGTCGCGTTCTATGATTTTCTCTACCCACGTGACTTTACTTTCTATTTATTGGCCAGCCATTCACATTTTAACGAGCATTTGTAACAAAAGGTGTCAAAATAAGTGAACGGCAACTGCGATTCTTGAAATAATTAATTGAATAATTTTCAAATAGAGCAAGTCAAGATCTATAAGTATCTTGGGGCCATCCTGGATTAAAAACTTAGTTTTGAAGATCACATTGATTATATTGGTAAAAAGACAAAAATAAAAATTGGTTTTCTGTATGGACACAAGCACTGCTTCCCCCCAATGTTCCGTTTGGAATTGATAAAAGCTACCATACTGCCTCTACTTGACTACTGTGACATCGTGTATAAATCAGCCCCAAGTACTGTACTGAAGAAGCTTGATTCCATCTATCACTCGGCCTTAAGATTTGCATTGAACTGCCCATATAGGACTCACCACTGTGATCTCTACATTGGGTCAAACTTAACATCTCTTAATGTTCGACGGCTTGTGCACCAGATCTTATTTATTCACGATGTACTTACAAAAAATTCCGCAGACTACTTACTGGATCTCCTCTCTGTTTCAAAGAACAAATTTGACCTCAGGTCTTCGCTCATTTACCAGCTTCACATTCCCTATTGCCGTACAAAAACTGGAGGAAGGGCTTTTGCTATTGATGCCCCCAGGGTCTGGAATGCTAATGCCAATAAACTGCAACTTGAATCACTACCTATGAGATCTTCACTCAAAACTGCTCTAGAGGAGTTGTACATCCCTAGCTGCCACTGCTATTCAGTGGCCTAAAATATGGCTCTAGCTTTTGGTGTTATACTTTATTTATGTAGTTTATTGTTAAAAATTCGGTCACAGTCCCTATGATCAGTTACATTGCATTTATGGCTTTCATTTTGGTGATTTCGAAAACGTTTTTTTTTGTTTTGGCCATGTTTTTGTTTATTGTAGTACGGAGTTAGACTGATGGCCTTAATCTTAGTTGTCATGTGGTTGTTGTTGTTATTTGAATTGATTCCACTGGGATTTTTGCACACAGCGTTGGTGTACGGTGCTATTTCAGGAATATTTAGATGTTTTTTTTCCCTGGATTTTCTGTTTGCACAGTCACATAATCACTTTAAGATGTTTTCTTGTTCATGTTTTTGTTTGTTGCGGTTGCACCCGATTCAAGAGCCGAATGGCTCACAGGGCTATACCAAATAAGTGAACTATGGAACTAACTATGGAACTATGGAAAATCGTGGAAACTACACACAAAATAATGGGAACTCACTTAATGCATTGCTTTTCTCTTTCACCATTGGGGCAGAAGGTGCGATGTTGGTCACGTGAACTTAAGACCCCCCCCTCCCCGGAGTAAACAACAACAACCAGAAGTCTGTGACAGAGGCTTGTTGTAACATGTGGGGTGGAGGCGGGGGAGGAGGGGGAGTTGGTGGGCGGGGAGGGACCGGGCGCAGCTTCTTAAACGCACTCGCACAGAGGTTGTGGCCTCGGTCCATTCCTGGCCACGTGAAGCGACGTCGGCCAATGGGCGCGCGGTGAAATTTCACGGAGCGAAGTATTGTGGGTAGGGAAGCACCACCCCATCACCCACCCCATCACCCACCGCCACTCACCACCAAGCCCCGACGACGGCTGTGCTGCGTCGGCTCCCGCTGTGGATGCAGCGGCAGCGGCGGCGGCGTTCAGAGGCCAGCCGCGAGGCTTCCCCCCCCCCAGGGCAGCTTTCGCGAACCTCTCTCGGGCGCGCGGGAGGAGGAGGAGGAGGCCGACCGTGTGGGTGACCGCCGCCAGATTCGAAGGCGGGCGCCGGGGTTTTTACGCGCGGCTGAGGAGGAGGAGGAGGAGGTAAGAACCCGTTTTGTCTTTTCTCAACAAGCTTCATAGCTTTTTTTTTGGGTCGGTGGCTTCTTTTCTCTGCTTGTTGTTTTTTTTGTGTGCGTGTGTGTTCAGACGTGGCATCTCAGCCGAGGGATCTTTGGACCGTGAGCTGCCTGGGCCCCCCCCACTCCTGCTTGCTTGCTCTCTCTCTCTCTCCTCCCTCCTGCTTGCTCTCTCTCTCTCCTCCTGAGATGATCAACGACAAAATTAATTTGTCACGGAATCGATTTTTTTAAATTACCGGCGTCTTGCTTTGCTCGCTGTCACAACTGTGCTGGCATTGAATGAAGGGGGTCTCTCGCCACCCCTCAGCTAGATAGAAGGCTGCAGTGGATGAGGAGGATGAGGAGGAGGATGAGGATGGGAGAGGCGAGTACAGGGGAGGGTGGTGGCTTGCCTGACTCCCTGGCCGGATTAGGTGGGGCAGAAAGCAGCTGAGCGGTTAGAGACCGCATCCCTACCCCCCCCCAACCTCACTCCTTCCTTGCCCGCATGCTTGTGATAGCATCTTGGGAATAACGTTGAGGATATTAGCGTGACACTTCAACAGATGACGGCCTGCGATTCTGGTAGGTCTGTTTTCCACACTGGTGCCTGACCTGAGCAGATACCACTTAGCTGTGGCTGCTGCCTGGCAATGAGATTAATTGTGTGTAGCAGCGTAGCTCGCTGCCTCGGTGAACATTTTTCCAGGTGCTCATTCGTGCAACTGTGAATGCATCGTGACCCAACATTATTTAGTGAAAGCGGTGCACACAATGGTTATTGCGATCATTGTGTGCACCGCATAACTCGGTGCCGTTTGGATAAAAATGTACACATTTAAAAGTGTTACATTTGAAGAGACGGCGCAAGAAATGTTAACCATTCGTCGCCGACATATTCTGGTGCGAATTATAACTTTTTTTTGCTTGCCCCTTGATTGGAAGACAAACGTGCATACATTGATTTGGTCAATTTTAACGTGACACTACTTTTCCTCTCTGCTTGCAGAAGATGCTGAGTTGACATCCTCTCCGTCAATCGCGGTGCAAGCACGGTGGAGGTGGGGGGGGGTGGTGCCAGGGGTGGTGGTAGTGGTTCAGCAGGAGCAGGAGGGGGGGCAGTAGTGAAGGAGCGCCCAGGATTCTGTGCTGCCCAGCGGTGAGAGGGACGGGCAACCGTGAATAAATAAGCAGAGGGCAGCAGGCAAGAGGTGGGTACGGGGAGTGGGGGGGTGTTAAGGATGTACAACAGCTCTCGCACGGTGACCGGTGGCGATGGTGGCGGCGGTGGAGGAGATCCGGGCTCGACGCGATCCCCGCGCCTCCCGCGCTCACCGAGACTCGGGCACCGCCGCACCAACAGCAGCGGTGGAAGTGGCGCGGCGGCTGGCGGCAGCGGGAAGACCATGTCCATGGAGAACATCCAGTCCCTGAACGCAGCCTACGCAGCCTCGGGGCCGCTCTACCTGGGCGAGTATGACGGCCCTGGCGGCGTAGCCGGCATCTCTGCCGGTAAGGGGTTCGCCAGCCACAACCGCTCGCTCGCTTGCTCGCTCATTGGCTCACAAGCAACAGAAACTGAACACGTTCGTTCAAGAGGGAAACGTATATGGTTGGTGACAATTAAGGCCACTGGGCCCTTCTTAGCAGAGAGGACAGCAGGATGACGATGTATGTTGTGCTCTTTGGTCATTTGTTTAATTGTCAAACTACAGTACTTGTTACTGAAACAGGAGCTTTGCTTCCCGTTAGAGTCTATAAATATTTTGATTGTACGCTAATGTGTTTTTTTTATATCTTATTTTTTATTGCACACTTCTATAATGTTTGTGATCCAGGTCTCTCTTGAGAAAGAGCTGTTTAGTCTCAGTGGTCTGTCATCTTATTTAAATTACATTTTATACTGCAAATAATTATAAAGCTATTAACATAATCGATTGCTATATAGTAGTTAGAGCACAATTGTAAATGTATGGAGCACAACATTATTTGACACTGGTAAAGATTTATATTTTGTGTATTTTTTTTTATCTAACTTTGGATCAATTGAATTTTGAAGCCGATTAACTCAGAAATTCCAATTTGAACAATTTAATTTCACTTGTTGCTTTTATATATTTTTTTTACACAAAACCTGGTCACTTTCTTCAGTGGTTGTCGAATTTAGAAATACTATAGTGAAAATAATACATGCACATTACGGATTTTAAGTCCCATTGTAGTTTTATGCTGGTACGTTTTGGCTTGCGGTCAAATGTGTGCACATTTTCCAAAGTGTGGCAGAAAAAATAAAGAAAACAATTGGGTTTCTTAACCAGTAAACCTTAATGTTTGCATAACCTTTTGGCATACAGCTATATGTCACAAGCCTTTTTGCGTTTATATAATTTGATTAATTTAACAATTGAAGTATTATTAAAACTTAGAGTTAAAATATGTCATGTTTCATCTACTACATTCATTTGTTTTTAATAAAGCCACTTAAGATGGCAAATGAATTCCCTCCCTGACAAATAAAGGCATTTTCACCAATAATGTACCGACTGCATATTTAGCGCAGTTTCAAATGTAATACTCGGTCATGTTTAGGTTCAAATCATCTGCTAATGAATGTCACAAGAATGACATGACCCAACAGTCAAAATATACAAGTCTGTAGCAAATACATGGTAGGTTATATCTGTAAGCAAATGTACTGACGGCTCCTTTTGCCCGCTAGATTTTATTTAACCTGTTCTTGTCGGATAAACACACGTCTGTTGCTTCCAACAAGCAATTGGCCATTACTGTTGGTGGCATTACGAGCGTGTCATGTGGGAAGGTTAAATTCTGCCGCCCCCGTTAAAAACATTTCAACGGCCTGACAATGACTAGCATTTGTAGCTTGCTATTTTTATTAAGGCCTCTATATTTAGGAATTTGTAGAATGGAATGCTGCGGCCAAACCTCAGCCCGCGATGCCCTGCAACATTTTTACGTGTCTTGTTTGAGCATAAATACATTGCATTTAAAATGTTTCGACATTTTTAGTAGCCGGCTTACCGAAGTCAACGATGACACTAGGACGACCGATGGGCGCCCCGGTGAGCTCGGTGCCCCGGCCCGCTCCGTATGGCCTTCGCATGACTGCCATGGGCAGCAGCCCCAACATTGCTTCAGCCGGCCTTCCCGGTGGGGATGCCATCATCTTTGGAGAGAATGACCTCGCCTACAGCATGGGTGCACAGGTAACTACAACAACATATACAGATTTTTCACCGTGAGTACGAAACTGACCAAACGCCTGCACTGATTAAAAGGCTTTCTCTCCCGTAAGTTCGGCCAGTTTTTTTTTCCCCCTTCATATTTAAGCACCATGTAAATGTATTATTATGCCAGGGTTGGAATGGTTAGCGCACTGGTTCGATTTGATCTTCCGGTGCGACAGTTGAAAAAAAAAAGTTTCATAAATCGCGTCCCCCCCCACCTCCATCCACCCAGCAGTATAATTGGGTACATTACGGTTAGTAGATCAGGAGTAGGTCACGCCTGTGGTGTGTACCTTGTACTCCCGCCTTCTCCATGATGTGTGGCCAGTGTGGAAGGGTAGGCCAAATGCCTACTAATGGGGCTCACATGAGCTTGCTCTAGTGAAATACCTTCTTGGCAGCAGCGGCGCGAGAGCAAGTGATTACAGTGTTGCAACCTGTAACATTTATATTATTCTTGATTCAGGATCGTCGACGTATCCGGGTGGCTTTGGGGCGCTCGTAGCTTGTCGGAGCACTGATTCTTCACTCCTCAGATCCTTGGTTTGACGCTGGGTTTCAGCCACCCGTACTTACACTGTATCCTCAATTATAGCATGTGTATGGTCTCAGCCTGGTCACAAATGGCCATTTTAAAAGAGCCATTGAATGCAATATAGTTTTCACTTAATTTGTCTTATTGAAACATGTGAGAGGCACAAGAATATGTATTCCCATGCATCCTTTGTTGCAGGGCATGTGCGAATGCGAGTCACCTGATGTGTAACGAGGCATTTGAAGGGACCTCAGAAGAAATGCTTTGACATCAGCTTCCAGGGACCGTAATCTAACATGAGATGATGTTACACTGCTTTTTGCAAAAATTATAAATGTAAATACATTTGTCTCCTAAACATGATGCCAATAACATAATTAGAATTGGAATATAATTAGTAAAACGAGATTGATTTTGGTCAGCTTCTTCAATAATATTTGAGTAAATTTAAGTATACAAGAAAATAACACGAAGCTCCTCACAAACCTTCTTGCTTTACTGTTTCCTGCAAGCAACTTGTTGTTATGATCCACTGCCCATGCCTATCAGCTGCTTGAATAAACATATAAAATAATAACAACGGTGAGAAGGATATTTTACAAGAGAATAAAGTGTTTAACACTTCTTTATAAAGTTCTAAAGCTTATCAAGTCAGGTCCAGGAAGAGGGTGACCATGGCTACCGAAGCAATTAACCAGGGCGTATCCCTTTTGGTGGCCCCTAGCCAGAGCAGAAATTCTACATTGCCATGGCATGGACCAGTATGATCTTACGAACACAACGAATGTCGAAGTGGACAATTAAAACTCCTTTTTTCCATCTTCCTTATCTTTCGAAGACCTGTCATTGCAGCTGAATAGACAGGAAGTCCATTTATAATGCATATGTGTATATATATAACAGACAGGAAGTCCATATCTCAACATTAAATGTTCTCTTATGTGTTTTTTTCCATTGGCGAATGCTTTTCCGGACAAGTATTTTCTACAATAATTTGTTTAATCGGGCAACCCCTCGACTGATTTAGACATTCAAGGTTTTTCGTCACCAGTCAAAACCTTGCAGACCATGCAGATGACATAACCATCTCGCAAAATCTCCAAAGTACAGCTGACGCCGAGACTTGATGGGCCTTAGGTTGCCACCTTGAAGGTACAAGACAACCAAGGCATTTGACGGAAAGAGGATGTAGAATAATCTCGGTTCCAGAAGAGGGGGTTAACAGCACGTAAATGCGTTGTCTTGAGTGGGGTATAATTCCTAAATTGATAAAAAAAAATTGACTTCTAATTGCTTACCTTTCCTATAGTTTGCACTCCTATTGTGTTCTTGTATGGCTTGTTGTTGTAACGTTCTGACCCGCCCGAACTGAACACCTGTTAAAAAGAGCTGTATAGCCCATCGCGGATTCCTCCAGTATAAATAAATACTCTGATTTCGAACGTCTTGGGAAGACTTAGATTTGTGCAGGACAGCCACTAAAAAAAAAGAAAAGAGGACTATTATGGGTAAACTGGGAACGGGTGGTAACCTGAGACGGATCTCTCCCCACCAGGTGCCGGCGTCGCTGCGCGGCGTGCGCGAGTGCAGCATGCTGGAGCTGCAGGCGCAGCTCAAAGAGATGCAGCGCGCCAACGAGCTCCTGCGGCGGGAGCTCGAGGTGAAGGAGAGCAAACTGGGCTCCTCCATGAGCAGCATCAAGACCTTCTGGAGCCCAGAGCTCAAGAAGGAGCGCGCCATACGCAAGGAGGAGGCGTCGCGGATGACCGTCATCAAGGAGCAGATGCGCGTCATGCAGGAGGAAACCCAGGTACGTGCGGCAGAGTTAATTAACCTTGCTGTGCTGGTGCCAGGCCCCCCACCGCCCCCCAGCAGATATTATATTTGGGTGCGTTCACCTGACTATGAACATGATGTGATGGACGAGCTGCGTAACTTAATTATATCGCAGTTGTGTGAGAGAAGTAGAGCCAATGGACACTCAAGTCCCCATTCCATTTCCATATATTGCGTCCGAGGACGAGAGATTGTGTGCTGCTCGTAATTTATTATTCATATTGTTTTATTCCACCCGCATTTTTTTGTTGCTGTAAGCCTCAATAAAAAAATTAATAAACACTGATTTTAAATCATTTTTAGTGGGGTTATTCGAATTATGAGTCTTTAATGTTTATAAGACCAGTAGCCATCATAACGCTTGATGAATTTCATCCACAAATAGCTTAGTTAACGAATGTGTTCGTGGATGATTTAGGTAACAAAATTAACGCTGGGTATGTGTTCACGCCAGCGCCTGGCAAGCTCTCAGCGTGCTCGATTACACCTGCGCGTCATTAAACGTATTTTCTCAGCTGTTCCTAACCCATTATTGTTTTTGTAATTACTCTACGAATGCAGGTGTTAGTGTGGAGGAAGGGAGCTATGTCATGAGAATAAATGTTTGGTTTTTTTAGTTAAAATTTAAGATGAATCGTGTTTTAATTTTTCCTCTTTAAATATTTTTATTTAATGAAAACAGGGCACATTTCAGGAGCCTTTTAAGACCTGATTCAGTTCATGGGTCCAAAGGTTTATTGGCTCGTTTGGATTTGGCTGAAACCATTTGTTTGCCTTCTCCAAATAACCTGTTTGTAGAGATAAGGTGATGGTGCTGTTGATCAATTGAACATTCAGCCCAGCAGATGACATCAAATAAAAAGCCAATGTTCAAAAACAAGGTTCAGGGGTTTGTATTTTCCCTATTTGAAATGGATCTTGTTTCATCAGGCGTGAGACATTTTACATCAAAATACAACTTAAATCGCTGGACCCTTGTTGTTCCGTTTACCGCCAAAGTAAATGGAGAATACCTTATTTTACTGGGTGGCACATTCATAAGTAATGGTTATCTGTACATACATGCAATCTTACATTTCGTACATGGAAACTGATGAATATTTTTAGTATCAAATTTGGAATTAGCAAATGTTAGAACAAGAAAAATTAATGGCGGGGGGTTGTTTGACAATACTTCACCGCACTGGTCAGTACGGGTTGGTGAAGTATGCCCAGAGTAGAATGGAGCACATTTCATCCCATCTCTTTCGGAAGTACCTGGCTGAGTTTGCGTGCCACATATGCGGTACCCCGCCCTATAAGGCTAGGAAGCCTCATTGTCATGGTAACGCAGATTTTTGTTGTTAACACATGATGATGCTGGATGTCATCTCCAAATGAAACGTATACAATTTTCGAAGCTTTAGCTTGCTTTTGCACATTCCGGGTTTCTTAAAAAACAAACCCATTGGCATATTTGCCCACTTAACTTGATTTGATTGGCTCTTAGAGTGGAGAGGCCAGGGGGCTTATAATAAAAAAATACATTATACCCACAATCTAATGAAAAGGAAACTCATTATGAACCATATTGCCATGTGTTTTACATGACAAAGCTGGTCACGGTCACGAGAGCACTTTAAAAAAAATAATTCTGATAACATTCATGTTCCAGTTACATCGCATGTGCACTCTGCGGCATACAACTCAAGGAAGCAGCAAATTATCTCATACGTCAAACATATAAGAGCATAATAACGTTTACAGTCTTGCTTTTGAATGTGACAATGCTTGTTTCAAGGCACCCTGTGCCTTGAATGCAATAAATTGATGGCAATGTTTAGATGCAATAAGGTGATCGCTGGGCGTGCTACATATAGCATATGTGATTATTTTTAGAACCGCGGGATGAGCTCAAAATTAACCTACGCTTCTTCTTCACTCCTATTTTATTCAGCAATTTCATTAGCGGATTCATATTGAAATTTCTTGCCACATAAATAAGAGGTTTAAAAGAAACTGCTGTAATTATTTTCTGTTTTAAACGCAGAGCAAGCAGTATGAATTGTGCAAATAAGTATTTCGTGAAAAATATTCGGCCGCGTCATTTTCAATATAAACTGCATGATTTGAAAAAAAAGATCACTTTTTGTAACGTAAAAAAATCATGCCAATCTTTCCTGAGTAATGTTGAATTGTATCAATGCAGTACAGCACATTATTGGATTTCACTAATTATTTTTACTATCAGTCGCACGATTGCATCATTAAATGTTGTAGACATATACATTTAGGCACACTCTAATGTCTTGAGATTTGCTAAAAAAAAATTTGCAAGAAAAATGGTAATGAATAAAATCACAGACTTTTTGTCTACTCTAGTCTTGCCTGTTAATACCATTAACCCCCCCCCCCCCATTATCAATGCATTTGTTATATTACATAAAAGATTTGCGTCAAACCAAAACTTACATTTTATAAACTCAGAGCTATTTTTTCATCTCATACTATTGAGGAGTGAACCGATGGTGGGATAGCTCTGCACTATGAACCCATGAGCTCGTGGTGTCTGAACAATCCTGGAGCCCCCCACGCTTCACCAATCCACACTGCCAACTGTGTGGTCAACCACCCCCTGCGGCTAATAGTCTAGCTTGTTGTAGAGGTTGCAGAGGTTCACAGTTGGAATCCAGCGGCCGCCCTGATTGCGGGTGTAATATCCGTGATGATACTTCACGCCATATTCTTCAGCAGTGGACGTTAAATGTCCCGTGCTTTCATTCGCGGGAGTTGGGCCCCTTTGTGTGCTGGTGTCAAGGTCAAAATTTGCCTCTTTCAAAAATTACCCCCAAATTACTAAATTGGGATGATATATAAAACGTAATCATCATCCCTTATGGGTTGACTAATGCCCCAGGTCACTCTTGTATATTAGACTATGCTGGTCACTCTTGTAAATTAGACTATCCTGGTCTCTTGAATTCTCATCTGGTTAAACAAGATAAACTTGACTTTATACAATATCGAGCGACCTTCATCTACCAATTGAGTGACAAAGGACTGAATATATTAATATTATATTGAGTGTATGTATATAGAATTCCCTTATTTAACGCCGTACATGCATTCCTGACAAAAGGGTTACCTTAAGCGAATACCCCGTTAAGCAAGGAATTGCTGTACTGAATCACATGTGTGCTATAAAATCAGCCTGCAGTCATCTCATGGCCGGGACAAAGAACTGAGATGAGGGTACGCCACGTACTGTATCATTCCGCGTACTCTATCATACCACTCGGCCGCACAGCTCAAGAAAGTAGTTTGTCGTCGACTGCTCAGAAACTGCATTATAACTGTGCGCGTTCTGTGTTATGGGAAAAGTGTTCCCGAATAGGAGAACCGCGTTCTCGTTAAAAAGCATTCAGCAAGGACTTACCATATTTTAACACAGTTTTAGTGATATTTAAAGCTTAAACTTGCAAACCAGGGTGGCCAAAAGATGGCAATACAGTACAGAAGGTGTATTGAATCAACCTGTGCAGAGGTTTGAGTGTTATCTCCTTGCATGTTTCGTTGGCCTATTCTGGTACTCCAATTTCTCCCACATGAATCAAAATATTATTATTGAAACGAATTATGGAAAAAATGATCTGAGATCCCCAAATGCAGGACCCTCCTGAAGAACAGAGTCTTGAGACTATAAAGCTTTCCTATATCAACAAGCAGCATTATCAGTTTCTTAAAATGCTTGTTGACTGCCATTTTAAATACTGTCCCATTTAATACTGGTCTTATAATGAATATTTCCATTATAACACTGCAGTGTGATTGGTTCACTTTTGGTTCCTTTCTTAAGAGACATTTAAGATGTCATTGTTCAACACATTGACTTATGTCAGTAATGGGCCTTTAATATTTAATTAAGGTGAAAGCCAGTTGGCACGAAATTAAAAATTAATGGTACAAACTGTATTTTTGCACGAACTGTATCAACAATCCTTGTTTCCTTCATGCAGAATTTAGATTTCTTTCCCTTAAAACATTACCATGTAAGGGCAGGGCTTAAGTGCATTATCAATAGTATACAACGACCTGTAATTTAAGGTACATTTACAATATGTAACAGTATATATGCTGAAGGTTTTGAGTAATAAATAAATGTGTGTATGTGTATATATTGTATTGTGTTGGAAACGGGTGAAACAACACGCACTGCATTATGAAACCCGGCTACCTGGGTTTGATTCCCATCCTATAAACTTTCTATTTTACCAGGTAAGGTCCATTGAGCTATATAGCTATTCTTCAGAAGCGACCTTGCCACAAATGATAGTTCAACGCTGTGGCTTATGTGAAAAGTTATAGCAGTCAAATACTCTAAACGCATGTTGATTTTAAATGTGGAGGGAAAAAACGGAGGACCCGGAGAAAAATCCACGCAACCACGGGGAAGACATGCAAACTCCAAATATGCAGGCGTCGGGGTCGGGATCCATCCCACGACCTCCTGTATACCAGGCGAGGGAGGTAACATCTCGCCACTGCAGTGCCCATGGCGGATGTAAGTGGCAAGCGATATCTGAAAAGGTTCTAGGCCTCTCCTCGGTCAACTCAACCACAAAGTGAGCTCCTCGCTCGGTGTGTAAATATCAGTAGTGGGGAGTCTGAGGCAGCTGTGCGTGGTGCTGGCTACCTCACCACATCATGCGCCTTGCCAGCTTTAATGGAACAGTGCTTGCCCTAGCAGTCTTAAAGTCGAGACGAAGGACCTTTGTTTACATGTTTTTTTACCCCCATCTTTTGTCTTGGCTTTCCTCAGACCAGGACACTTAAACAGAATGCAAAGGTTTGTTTCAGTTCTGCAAATGATCAAACATTTGCAATTGCTAATGTACCTGCAGCCTTGAGAAGCACAAGCTGCAGTAGAAGTCGATGTGAACACGTAATAAATGTCAACGCACAACGAAGCGGGTTGAATTTGTGAAGTCATGTCACTTCACAAACGTGGACCGTGTTTGCATTGCTGTTTATTGATCTGGTAGAATTAATGCGCATCATTGGCCCAAGCGATAGCATACACCCTTGACATATTTTATTTTGCTCGTATTACTTTATTTACTCTGTCGCGGAGTACATTTTGCCAAATGACAATCCCCGAGGCACGGCAAGGCTACTTTTTCCTCTACTGATAGGGTTGGCTGCTTCTGAAAGCTTTACTTTCATATTATTAACGATTTTACATTTTGGAGGTGAGTAATTGACAACATTCACCCTGGACGGTCAAGTGTGCAAATGTAGAATTAATCTAACTAAATTAATTTAAGCCCATGAAGCCTACGCAATTTGATCCCACGTGAATGATTTCAAATGCCACCCAGCAGACTGGACTCCAAGTTAATGGTGGGTTTAAATATAAATGGGCGGTTAAATGAAAGCTACGATGTGTTTTTCATCTGTGCCTCTATATGCTAGTTGTTTTTTATATGTAAAATACTTTGCAGGCATAATCATACATTGTCCTATTAAATACATCTTTTTTTGTAACCTCATGATACCATGAGTCTATTTAACTAAGAGGCTGCTTATAACATGAAACAAATTGCCTGGGTATGGACGTAAAACATTAGTGAGGCTCATAATGGAAAAATGTCCAGTTGCTTAATTTTTTTCATCTGTTCACAATACAGTGAATATCTGTCGTATTGTAATGTGCTATATGCAATGTGTCACTGTCGTCAACCTAACTGGCTATTAAACAGCAGAGCAGCGCATTCCATCATGTTAGAGAATGGTTCACGGAAGAGGATATCGCAGAGTTACTATTGAGATCCCTTCAAGTGACCTATAGGCCACACAATAGAGGGAATCGCTTTCCGCACCCATGCTACATGTGAGAACTGTTTGTCGTGCAATAGTGAAACTGACATTCATTTCTCAGAGCTGAAATCTATCCAGGTTAAGTGCAGAACCAACATCAATGCAATGGGGACATTTCGTGTGTGCAGTTGTAGATGGGCCAGGGCTGAAATGTGCAACTCACTCCAGCCTTGATCATAGGTGACGGCAGCATGTCAGCAGTGCCAGCTCAGCGCTGCATTTTAAACGGTTTCTCAAGTCGATGGTCTCAGCCTGGTCGGCAACAATCACATTCAAATGGTTATCTTAACAATTGAAGGTGATGCACTGCTCTGTGAGAGTTCTGATTGGACTCTTTGTCTTGTGACGATTGGAAGTGAACTGGGGGGGAGCGGCAAAAAGCACGTTGCATTACGACTGATAATTTTTTGTGTACAATCGCCCGTAACTTTGCTGAATCGCTTCGGAGTGCACTAGAGTGGGGACATTTTCAGGAGAGAATGAAATTAGATTCAATATATAGCAGCATTGATTATTCTGTTTGTTGCAAGGGATTATCTCATTATGAAGCTAATATGGGTCTTGCAATAGTTTATGGGGGTTTAGCGAAAGGTAATTGCTGATAAGCATTCTTACTGTATTATTTGGCTCTTTATCTATGTTTAGCGACCTCTTTGCAGCTATCTGAGAGAAATGACTCAACAGATAATGCAAGCACAGGCCTGCTGTCATTCCATAAATTAATCTCTTCTTGGTACAAGACTACACCCTTAACATTTAGAACAGGATATTATATCTACACACTGACCGACAATGGTAATTTATTATTTTGTGACTCTTCAAATTGCGATAATAATATCAATAATGTAAAAATAATGAGTAGCTCTTTATCAGTCGTCTCTCTACCGGATGGAGCCGTCCCCAGGCATTGTCAGCCTGGGATGTTCTAACGATGCTACACCATGCCTGTCAGTGCGAGTAGTAAGCGGGGAGTGGGGTGCCGAGCAGTTCAGTTTTCACTCGCCACTGATGTTGGCTGTGCCCCAAAATTGGTAAACATTACGCGTTATATGATTGTAACATGAAACGGTTTAAAATAATAAAGTTTTTTTATTAGAACCGTATCGTTATTTCATTATATTTTGGCTGCCAATCATATTTTATCTTTCCTTTGCGAAACCACAGGGGGAATTATAATTGCACAGAAAATGTATTAAACATAATTTGTCAGTGTTTTAGCTGATTGGGTGGCCCTACAAGAATCTGCCTACAATTATGATTTATGCAGCATTTAAATGTGACCGCGTCTCAAGATGTTGTACAGAAACATTGGGCATATTTATTTTATACAGAGATGCAGTCGATCAAAGGCAGAAGGAAAATAATAATGCCTTAAGTCAATCTGGAATGACGTACTGATTAAGTCAGCTACTTTTGTTTGGTCGATTACTCAGGCCCATTTAAAAATGGTGGCCACCCCTCCCCACATCCTGCCTTTCAAAGGCAGGCTGTGGGGATGGTGAGACGTTTCTTAACTATTTTCATGTTATCAGATTTGTCGTATAAGTGAACAGACAATCGATAGAGTAATCGATTACTTAAATTATTTGATAAACCCCCTCTCGTCTTGAAACTGAACTTGAACAGGGTCAGGGAGTCGATCGCACAGATGGCTGGGGGTAAGGGAGTTCCAGACAATGTGGGGCAGCAGAGAAGAATGATAAACCTCTCATTGATCGAAGTTTGCCTGAAGACTTTTATAGAGGAATTGTGCTTATAAGTGAGCTGCGTGAATGTAAAGTGTGCTTTACCTGAATTGACGAGAACCTTACGTGCCACGTTCAGTGGAAGAGCATCTAATTTTGAAGTGCACAGTCACGTGTAATGTACTTTACTACTGTGGGGGCAGCAGAGGGAGAATTGACACTGCGGTTTTTTGTCCGCTGCCTAGAACGAGGGAAGGCCAGCAACATGCTAGGGTTGTCTGTGCGCGCTCCGTGATGTTGCAGCACCTGCAGCTGACGATCCAGGCCCTGCAGGAGGAGCTGCGCACCCAGCGCGACCTCAACCAGCTCTTCCAACAGCAGGACAGCAACTACCCCAGCGACGACAAGGCCGCCGGCGACGGGGCGGATGGGCGTACCGAGCCCAGCCAGGCCGAGTTCCACCGCCTTCGGGTGCAGCATGACCGCCAGTCCAAGGAGCTCTTCCTCCTGCGCAGGTGTGCAGGACTCGCACAGGGTTCATGTTTTGGCTCTCATGTGCATGGTTTACAGGTTTATGGCTTTGCTTTATTGTGCAGGGCTTACATCATGGTTCAGGGTTTGGCTCTCCTGTGCAGGGCCTACATGCGTCGTGTTTTGGTTCTGTTGTGTGGGGCTTACATGGTTTTCATGGCTTAACCCTCTTGGTGCAGGGCTTACAGGGTTCGGGTCTTGATTATCTTGTGCAGGGCTTACATGGTTCTGGGCCTGGCTCTATTGTGCAGGGCTTGCAGTGTTCATCTTTGGCTTCTACTGTGCAGGTCATACAGGTTTCAGGTTCTGATTCTTGAGTGGGGTTTGTCGGGTTCAAGGCTTGGCTCTCTTGTGCAGGGCTTACATGGTTCATGGTTTGGCTATCTTAAGTGGGGCTTACCTTGTTCATGGTCTGGATTTATTGTCCAGTGCTTATAGGGTTCAGGGTTTAGCTCTTTTGTGTGGGGCTTACATGGTTCAGACCCCGGCTGTCTTTTTGTGCTGTGCTTATAGGGTTCAGGGCCCGGCTCTCTTGTGCAGGACCTACGTGGTTCATTGACATGATCGACTTACAGGGTTCAGGGTTCGGTTCTCTTGTTCAGGGCTTACAAGGTTCAGGGACCGGCTGATCACGCAGGTCGTACATGGTCCGGCTCTCTCGCGTGGGGCTTGCAGGGTTCAGGGTTTGGTCCTGTTGTGCAGAACTTACCAGGTTCATGGTTTTGTTCTCTTGTGCAGGGCTTCCAGGGCTCAGGGTCTGGCTCTATTGTGCAAGGCTTAGAGAGATGGTATCTTTGAAAGTGACACCTCATATTGAACGACTAAATTAAATTTTTGAGAATTGTTCTTAAACCTACCATTGAGCTGTAAAATAATAATTGACACATTAAATGCTTGTATGCTTCTACTTTTGATGTATTTGGCTGTGAGGGTTCTGGATGGTCTTAACAACACATTTTAGCCAGATCATTATGTGAGCTGACCCATAAATATCAAAGATGAAATCATCATTTTGGCTGTGTTTTAACTTGGCACGATCAAAGTTGTAAGGGATGAGAGTAAACACATTTGTTAAATTGAGCAAGGTTATAAGAGCTTTCAGAGAAAAAGGCGATGGTGGGGGGGGGGATTCCACAATCTCCGGTGTTAGGTTTTGGTTTCGGTGTTGGTGATGAAGGGGTTACAGAGTTTAGCTTCTATTGTTCTGGTTTATTGTTAGCAATTGGCATTAGTGTTAAGGTTAACCTTTTGTTCTTCGTCGTTACAACTTTAGGGTTTATTTTCAGTGCTAGCGATTAGTGTGCAGTGATAATAGGATTTAATGTTTACCTTCTGTGTTATAGTTTAGGTTTAGGATATTGGCTTACCTTTACATTGATCAGCTTACAGGGTTTGGGGTTTTGTTTTTGGTGTTTGGGTTTAGCATTAGTGTGCAGTGGTTCCAGGGTTAAGAGTCATATTTTTGGGCTTCAGTGTTAGGGTTCATATTTTAGTGTACTGGGTTAGGGTTTGGATTTAATGTCATGCTTAGGGTTTATCTATTGTGCTAGGTTTCAGGTTTAGCCTTATTATGCAAGAGCGAGAATTATGATCGTTTACAGATGGATATTTAATGAACACTGATTATGCTGGAATTTTGACTGTTTTCATGTTTATCACAAACAATGATGTTGCTTGATTTGTCGTTTTGTTGGCAGTTGCTATAACCCCAAGAATGCAATGCAAACGTGATGATCAGTAGTACATTTTAACCACGTTGGGCAGAGCATACGATTGTAATAACAATTTGTTGACTTACAGAAACATTAATCTGCCTGTGGGGTTAAATAACGTTGTGAATGAGATGTGAGTGTCCGGATGTATTTTTCACACTCCAACATGTTTCCAATCATTTGGATTACAGCAATTGTAGTAAACAGACACACGAATGCATAAAAAAACTGTCACAATACCAAGGGTTCAAGAAAGCCGATCCTTAATAAATAATTACACGCTGCCGTCCATTAAAATGGCTGCTGAGTCGCAGAGGACAATTCTCGGCAACCCGCTGTGTCATTACTATTTTGTACAAACTGTTCTGTCTGCTGGCGTATGCCTACGTTTTGTAAAACATGTCAATTTCTCACTGGAGACATTGCCTTTGTCAATCGGAGGCGGTGGTGGAAAATGATGGTCCTGCTTCGTACTTTTACCTCTCATCACAATGCCGTTCAGCTCCACGATTGTGAGTTTTTTTTTTCCATGAGATCTGTTCAGTACAACATGGGCACTGGTCAGTGTGGTTTGGTGAAGGAGGCTCCGTGGACTTTTTCAGAAATCGCTCACCATTGACTTAAAGCATCCATGGTCGGTAATCAAACTCATACCAAGGAGGTTCATAGCGCAGTGGGCCTACCACTGTGCCACCGTTTAACAACAGCAAAACCCAATTCAATTAGAGGTACTTCCATAGTAAAAAATATTAATCAAACCATGTATGTATTTACATGTATGTATGTATGGCCAACATCATTGACAGTTATCTAAAGCGGTCCTGGGCCTCCCTTATATCGACTCAGCCTCAATTGAGTTCCTGGTGTGATGTGTGGACATCGCCACTCGGGAGACAAAGGCGGTCGTGAATGGTGTTGGCCACCCACCGCCTTGTGTGCCGTGCTGTACTTCAAAGGTGCTCGCTAACAGCACTTTCCCCAACAGTCAGTTAAGGCTATATTGGGGATCTTTGTATCTATGGGACCTTTTTGCCAGCATCAATATGATAAAATGTAAGAATAGGTAATAAAACAGGTGTTAAGATATTCTTTGTCTTTTGTTTTTTGTATGCTTAACTTTTTTTGCACCGTACATAGCCAAGCATGCTAATCGCAGGTGCTAACAACCATATGCACGGACAGGACCCTGGAGGAGATGGAGCTGCGCATCGATACGCAGAAGCAGACGCTGGGAGCACGCGACGAGTCGATCCGCAAGCTGCTGGAGATGCTGCAGGGAAAGGGCCCGGGCGGACGCGGTGGCACCACGGGAGACGACGAGAGGCTGGCGGATGCTGAGGCGCAGCTGAGTCATATTCAGGGGCTGCTGGAGGGCCGCGAGCGTGAGAACCAGCATCTCCGAGAGGTAGGGCACTGCACGGGCGCACTCTGTGCCTTGAAAGTATTCACTGTTGTTTGCTTTTCAATCTTTTAACAACACTTGTATATATATATTCTTGGTTCTTTCGGTAAAGTAACGTAGAAGGGAAACAAAATAATAAAAATATAAAACAATAACACTTATGTTTTTATTTATTTATTAGGTTTTTTTTATTTCGACTGTGCGATATGTGTCATGCCATGATTGGACCATTTGGATTGCATCTTTGACGAATTTATTATTTTATTTTTCTATACTGATTGTGCTCGGTGTCATGGCACGAGATGAATATATTTAGATTCCACGCTGAGCAGTGTAAATTCTTCATGTTAGAGAATGAACCTTGGAAGTACAGTGAGGGAAAAAAGTATTTGATCCCCTGCTGATTTTGTATGTTTGCCCACTGACAAAGAAATGATCAGTCTATAATTTTAATGGTAGGTTTATTTGAACAGTGAGAGACAGTATAACAACAACAAAAATCCAGAAAAACGCATGTCAAAAATGTTATAAATTGATTTGCATTTTAATGAGGGAAATAAGTATTTGACCCCTCTGCAAAACATGACTTAGTACTTGGTGGAAAAACCCTTGTTGGCAATCACAGAGGTCAGACGTTTCTTGTAGTTGGCCACCAGGTTTGCACACACCTCAGGATGGATTTTGTCCCACTCCTCTTTGCAGATCTTCTCCAAGTCATTAAGATTTCGAGGCTGACGTTTGGCAACTCGAACCTTCAGCTCCCTCCACAGATTTTCTATGAGATTAAGGTCTGGAGACTGGCTAGGCCACTCCAGGACCTTCATGTGTTTCTTCTTGAGCCACTCCTTTGTTGCCTTGGCCGTGTGTTTTGGGTCATTGTCATGCTGGAATACCCATCCACGACCCATTTTCAATGCCCTGGCTGAGGGAAGGAGGTTCTCACCCAAGATTTGACGGTACATGGCCCCGTCCATTGTCCCTTTGATGCGGTGAAGTTGTCCTGTACCCTTAGCAGAAAAACACCCCCAAAGCATAATGTTTCCACCTCCACGTTTGACGGTGGGGATGGTGTTCTTGGGGTCATAGGCAGCATTCTTCCTCCAAACACGGCGAGTTGAGTTGATGCCAAAGAGCTTCATTTTGGTCTCATCTGACCACAACACTTTCACCCAGTTGTCCTCTGAATCATTCAGATGTTCATTGGCAAACTTCAGACGGGCATGTATATGTGCTTTCTTGAGCAGGGGGACCTTGCGGGCACTGCAGGATTTCAGTCCTTCACGGCGTAGTGTCTTACCAATTCTTGTCTTGGTGACTATGGTCCCAGCTGCCTTGAGATCATTGACAATATCCTCCCGTATAGTTCTGGGCTGATTCCTCACCGTTCTCATGATCATTGCAACTCCACGAGGTGAGATCTTGCATGGAGCCCCAGGCCGAGGGAGATTGACAGTTATTTTGTGTTTCTTCCATTTGCAAATAATGGCACCAACTGTTGTCACCTTCTCACCAGCCTGCTTGGCAATAGTCTTGTAGCCCATTCCAGCCTTGTGTAGGTCTACAATCTTGTCCTTGACATCCTTGGAGAGCTCTTTGGTCTTGGCCATGGTGGAGCGTTTGTAATCTGATTGATTGATTGCTTCTGTGGACAGGTGTCTTTTATACAGGTAATAAGCTGAGATTTGGAGCACTCCCTTTAAGAGTGTGCTCCTAATCTCAGCTCGTTACCTGTGTGAAAGACAGCTGGGAGCCAGAAATCTTTCTGATTGAGAGGGGGTCAAATACTTATTTCCCTCATTAAAATGCAAATCAATTTATAACATTTTTGACATGCGTTTTTCTGGATTTTTGTTGTTATTCTGTCTCTCACTGTTCAAATTCAACCTACCATTAAAATTATAGACTGATAATTTCTTTGTCAGTGGGCAAACGTACAAATTCAGCAGGGGATTAAATACATTTTTACCTCACTGTATGACCGTCAAACCAACATTATTCTCAGAGTTGCAATGTAGCTAAATTAAATTCAAGACCAAATGTAATTGTGATGGGTCAATTGTGACCTGGTTGAGGCCACTAACTCACTACATTTGGGAACCCGGTTTGGTCACCCGCTTTAATTAACATGCAAATAGGAACACGAAATGTAAGACCACTTTAAAATGACGACGCTTGAATAGAATTGGAAGATAAATTTACAAATCATAGGCAGCCATCTGGAATCAAACCCAGGATCCCGACGGTGCAAGTCGCAGGCTGGAATCTCTGAGCGACCTGACCTGCCTCTCCATCAATTTAATTTGACACAAATCTTCCTAGCAACGCCACACTTGCTTGCGAGGAGACGGAGCAGCTCGATGCAGTCATTGCTGGCAGCGGCCAGGTGTGAGCCCCACGCGTGTGTAGAAAAAAGGCGGGCAGCTCAGGTTCTTAATTGGTCACTTTTTAAGAATGTTCACACTGGTTGTATTTGTGCATTGTTGGAAAGTCTGCATCTGCTCTTTTGGGAGGGCAATGTTTTGCCACACTGGGATTATTTTAGAAAAATGTGGCCACTAGTGGGATTATTTTAGAAAAATGTGGCCACTAGCCATGCTTCTTGTCATAACAACTTGAATCAGGAGAACGGGAACAAAACCTGCTGGGTGTTTGCCTTCGTGGTTTCCTGTCCCCTTGGGCTTAAGACTCCCGTCATGACGTATCTGCTCGCCTCGCAAGTTGCAGTGTCAATGGTTTATTAACTTAGGAAAAACACATTTAAAAGGCCAACATTTTTTTTATCCAGCTGCAGTATTAAGGATGCTACAAAATGAGTTTTCATCATACAATTCTCTGTTGATATTCACGACATGACCTTTATCGCAATGTCCATTTCCCATCGCTTCGTTTTTGTATTGTTTTTATGCTTTGTTCTACTTCGAGTACAAATACAGATTACTTAATCCTTCTTAAACTGCAAATCACCCGACAGAAGCCTTTCATTCGTCTTTGCATTTGTGACAATTCTTTCATAGCTATCTAGGTACAACTTTAGTTAATTGGTTTGTTATTTCGTAAGCATTTTGTCAAGAAATAAAGTAAAAAAAATGTGCGCCCACAATCGCGATATAGTGATATTTTGGATTATTGTGGCTCTTATACCGTACGACGTATTGTCCTATCGCCGTATCATCACAATGCTCGTACTTAATTGTAATGGGGTTCACCATCTAATGACATGTATTTTTAAGCTTGTAGACTTCTACACATGCTGGCAATATGGGGTACTACCACGAGACAAATCTGACTTGTCTGTCAGCCATGCCAAAGCGAGGAATGCAGTCTCACCCCTGTGGGATGTTTGCCAGGAGCTACTTTGAAGTGACCCCAACATTCCGGAGAGGGAAAGCTACTAAAAAAAAGTGTTTTTTAGATCAAGTGGATTGCCCATATTTATATTTTACATCTGTTTAGACATGATCCTGTCTTTTTGTGCGAGTTTCTGTGAGGCGTATGCAGTCTTATCTACTTATGCCTTTTCTCATCTCTGTCCAGCTGTTCTTGTCTGTCTCTATAATTTTCACCTACAAATTTTGCAATGAGCACATTTAAACATACTAAATGTCATTCGCTCATACCGCAGCAATGACATGAGGTCACATTTTGTTAAATATTGCATTGGCGATGCATATTGCAGATGTGTTGCAATGAAAATCACTCTGGGGGAAGATATGACTGATGGTCCAGACTAAGCTTCTCTTGAGAGATTGAATCTGCAACAGTCATCAGCAGAAAGGTGGACATTAAACAATATATTATATTTTGCTGAGGCTATGCTTCAGTGCAGCCTTCTTAAATTTGCTCGGCTAGGTGAGTTACAGTTTGCAATAGAGTCCAAATAAAGCAATGATTGTGTGCACGAGATAATTATCCTCTTGTTGCGCGGAGTTTAAACTTTTAAATGTACTAGAAAGCCCATGTCTACAATGTTTAATACCCACAAACATGCGTTTCAATATGCATTCGCAAATAAGAATTTTGCTTGTGCGAGCGATTCCAATATGATTGGCGATGGATTCAGACATTAAACTCGAGGGTCTTCACGTTCTTATTAAGCATCACAATGTGTGAATGATGCCACTGTGCACTGCCTGGTGAATTTAACTGTCGCTATCTATGCATCTGTGCATAATTGGTGAAATATTGACTCATTGCATGCCTAAGGTTGACCATGCACGGTACATCATTTATTCAATTAATATGAATGATCACGGATTAAACAATATTGCCAATTATTTACTCAGGGGGGCCTCAGTGGGTCTCAAGAACGGTATTCCAGAGTGTCTTGTAATTTGGACATCTAGCCAAATGCATTAATGAGTGTTTGGCAGAAGGGAGTAATCTGGAATGCCTGGAGAGTTAACACTCCCCCACCTATACATGTACACACTCCAAAGAGATACTCCTTCGAGTCTTAGCCAATTCCACTCGTGGACTGCACCCTTTGCTTTATCGTCCTCTCCTGGTAACTCGTCGTCCCCGCAGCGCTATACCTGCAACACCTGGTATGCTTTTCACCCATCCAAGCGCTAGCCAGGCTCAATTCCTCCTCTACTTCTGAGATTGGACGAGGTCAAGCAGAGTGATGTGGTTGTACAAAAACAATGTATTTGGCAGACGACACAAGTTTTACCCTGCTGTTGGGGTTTACACATGGGGGGTTTTCGATGCTGTGGGAAATAGCATAAGAATATGAAAATAAGGAAGTCTAGCACCTGGACTTTATCAGAGGGAGTGAGTTGACAGCACGGATGGCTGAGGAAAGGGAGTTCCAGATAATGGGGGGTCAGCAGAAGAGAAGGAGCGATCTACTTGAGCGAAGGTTGACTGGAGACTGAAATATAAAGCCTTAGTTCCTGGAGAAGTAACTGATGTGGGCACTTTGGTTTGTCAGAGAAATACAGCTTATAAGTGAAGTGATTGCAATCGCAGAGATTTACCTGGCTTGACATGTCCAGCACATA